TTGGGTAGATGAATAGATACATGGATGAATGGATGGATGGATGGATGGGCAGATGGATAGACAGACGGATGGTTGGGTGGATGAATGGATAGACTGATGGATGGACAGATGAACGAACAGATATATGGGTGAACAGATGGCTCTCACTTAGAAGTGGGAACAGGTGATTGTGTTCTCCTAAAAGTCATACCCTCAGTGGGATGGTGTTTGGAGGTGGGGTTCCTGGGAGGTAATTAGGTTTGGATGGGCTCATGAGGGTGGGGCCCCCAGGATGGGATTAGTGCCCTTCTCAGACAAAACACCAGCTCTCTCCCTCTTTCTCAACACAAGACAATGGCCATCTGAGAGCCAGGAAAAAGCCTCGCCAGAGCCCAACCATACCAGCACCCCAACCTCAGACACCAGCTTCCAGAACGGAGAGAAATCCACGCCTGCTGTCTAAGCCCCAGCTGTGGGTGCTGCTGGAGCAGCTGGAGCAGATTAAGACTGACGTTCAGACTCCTCGCTTCTTCCTGAAGCCCCGACTAGCTTCCCATGGAACGCATGAAAGCATAGCCACAGGAAATACTTTAATTACAGCTGTGTAGGCGCCGCTGATGGGCGCAGGGAGCTGAGGACTCGGGCTTGGTACCTGCCCCACCCAATGGCCCAGCTCAGCCCTCCCCCCCTGAAACCTGCAGGCACAGCCAAGCTCAAGAACCACCTGCAGGGCCGATGCCAAAGCTCGTCCCACACAGAGACCATTGCTCCAACCGGCTCCCCGCTGGGCATGGCCAGCGCCTCACACCTCCTGCACGGCCCTCTCTCCCGCTGTCCCCACTTTTAGATTCAGGCCGGCCCAGTCCACCTTCTCCGCCCTGTCCCTGCCTCATGCCCTTTGTAACCGCAGCCTGGACCCCGGTCAATGGCTTCTTTCCTCTTTAGCCTTCGGGCCAGACTCCAATTTCAGGGGGGTTGTCAGGTGTAAAGGCGTTCAGGGCGGTGGACAGTTCTGTTTATGTCAAGAGCTTAAATCAGCCAGGCCAGGTGGGCACAGCCCTCCGGGCACCCATAAACCCTGAGCTCATGGCCGCCGTCCACTCACCTTCCCAGGCCCGGCGTTTAGGCCCCCTGACCCCTGACCGCAGGTGCGGGTCTTACTATTGCTTGGCCCTGCCAGCGCCCACGGGCGCCAGCCCCACCCACTTGCCTCTGGTTCTCTAGGACCTGGGGCACGGACTTGAACTTGGGAGCCTTAGCTTCTCTTTCTCGGACAGCGACTCCCCTCCTCGCACCTGGTGCTGAGAGGACAGAGTCGAGAGATCGTTCATCAGCGCCCGCCCGGCGGCGGCGAGGTGCGGCTGCGGCTGCCGCTGGGATCGGCTCAGAATAGCTTCTTGGACGCCCTTCCCCGGGCGCCGCCCGCGGCGCCTTTGGCCAGAGTCCCCGCTCCCTGTGCTGTTTGCTCCGCTCAGAGGCAGCGGGTCCCAGGCCTCTGAGGAGAGGGAGGACTGAGGCCGGAAACCACAGCCCATCTCGCCTTCTCCCCCGGCTGCTCTGCGGGGCCACAGGGAACTGGAGGGGGTGTTAACGTCACAGCTTTTATTTATTTTTATTTTAAAAAATATATTGCCAAAACCGGTGTGGCTCAGTGGATAGAGCATCGGCCTTCAGACTGAAAGGTCGCAGGTTCGATTCCGGTCAAGGGCATGTACCTTGGTTGTAGGCACATCCCCGGTGGGGGGTGTGCAGGAGGCAGCTGGTTGATGTTTCTCTCTCATCGATCTTTCTAGCTCTCTATTCCTCTCCCTTCCTCTCTGGAAAAAATCAATAAAATATATTTTAAATAAACAAATAAATAAATATTGTCATTGATTTCAGAGAGGAAGGGGTGGGAGGGAGAGAGAAGCATCAATGATGAGTATCACTGATGAGCTGCCTCCTGCACGCCCCACACTGGGGATCCAGCCGGCAACTCAGGCCTGTGCCCTGAGTGAGAATTGAACCTCGACTTCCTGGTTCCTAGGTGGGTGCTCAGCCACTGAGCTGCGCTGGCCGGGCACCCCCATGGCCTTTAGATGCCAGGGTACCGTCTCCTGGTGCACCTCGCCCGCACTTCCGGCAAACCCGTCACCATGAGCCCTGAGTGAAGATCGAGGGTGTTTATCCGGGGGACCTGGCCGGCCTCCTGCTCCTCAGCGTTGGGGCGATGGCACTGCGGCGCCGGCGCCTGCTGCCAGAGGGCTGACACGCGGAGACGGGGGGGTTTGTGGGTGCCGTGGAGCGAGTCCCCCCTGGTGGCCCACACTCCCCCTCGAGCCCAGGGGAGTCTCCCCAGATCACCGAGGATGCACTCCCTTGGGGACGAGCTGGAGGACTCTGGGGACCCCACAGCCCCATCGGCACCCAAATTCAGCACGAGGCTCCATGTCGCTGGAGATTAGGAAGACAGGGCTGATGCCCGAACAACGGCTGACTGTTTGCCAGGGGATGTTCGGCACAACATGTGAGTCTTTCCTGCCCAGCGGGGAGAAGGGTTTTCTGGGTTAAACGGAAAATTCCCAGGTGCCAGAGGATTCAGGGGACATGGCTGGGGGCCCCCAGGACACAGGGCAGGTCCTGTTAGAAGTGCCAGCTCCCCTGTCCCCTGCGATGCCGGCCCCGCCTGCCCCCCCTCCCGGCCTGGGCACAGACCCTGGCCCTCCCCCGACCCCCCCCCCCCCAGCTCCCAGGAAGGCTGCCATTTGTCCTCGTCCCAAAGCCTCCGCTCGGCTCGCTGACCTGCCAGTCTGAGCAGGAATGGACGTTACCTTCCAAGCAGGCGCCCAAGAACTCCTGCCTCCGAGGCCGGAGCTGTGCAGCCCCTCAGGCCCTGCCTTCTTCCCTCTGCGGACGGTGTGAGCGGGCGGGGGCTCCGTGCTGGGGGGCAACGCCGGCTGCATCGGACTGACTCACCCTCCCCTCGCCCCGCCCCGCCCCGCGTGTGGCACACCTCCTGCGCCCGTGCCCGCACAGCAGCACGGACGTCCTCATTCCGGGACCGCACGGCGCAGGGCCCTCAAAACACATCCCGGGGCGGCCAGCAAGCTGTGACACCCCGAGACGGGCTGATGAGTGAAGGCTGCCGGGCCTGTTCTCCCTTAAGCGCTTACACACCCGGGCCGGCTGCAAAGTTAACTCTGCCGACCCTGGGGCAGCTCAGGGCCCGTCCGCCCGCCCCCGCCTCTGCCCGCTGTGCCCACTGTGCCGCCTGGCCACTCCCTGCAGACGCAGGAAGGGCAGTGGCCAGAGGTGCCGCACTTCCCCCAAATGCACCCCCAGGGCCCCTCCCAGTGCTCCCTGACCAGTGGCCTGGGGGCTGGCGCCCTCGGTGGGCGGGGCCTCAGGACTAGGCACCCCCCTATGCAATGAGGAAACGGGCCCAGAGCGGCCGGGCGGCCAGCCCAGACCCAGCATCTGTGTCCCTGAGAAAGGCCGCGTGCTGGCGGCCGGCTGACCTCCCTCCGGGCACAGCCATCGCGGCCACTGCTGGTGGCCGGCCCACGCAGAGCCTGTCCGCTGGGACCCTCCGCCCGAGGCTCGGCCTCCTTTCCTGCCCCTCCGCGGGGGCCTGTGCGGCCTGCGAGGCCGGGACCAGCCCGGGAGGGGCCGCCTGCCCGCGGCGTGTCCCGTGAAAGGCGTTTAATTACTTCTGACAGAGTTCAGCGGCGACATCTGTTCACAGGCGGGGAGAGTCGGTGCGGGTCATCCATCACCGTGACAGGCTGAGGTCTTTTGGAAGTGCCTCTCCTTTCCTGGCGGGCCGGGGCGGGGGCCGGGCGGAGCAGCAGCCACAGGACGGGCACCGGGCAGAGGAGGGCCCCCTGTGGACGGGCAGCCGGCCTCCTGAGGGCAGACCGGGCGCTGGCCACCGGACGGGCAGCCGGCCTCCTGAGGGCAGACCGGGCGCTGGCCACCGGACGGGCAGCCCGGCCTCCTGAGGGCAGACCCTGGTGCCACGGAGCCAGGAGCCCCGACCTGCCCAACAGCATCCCTGCTGCCTGGCCCCAGATGTTGGGAATCAGAGAGCAAAAAGCCAAGGAGGACGGAAATGGGACACACACACACGCGCACGCGCGTGGACAGCAGCGCTGAGCGCGAGGCGGGCGGGCGGCCGCGGTGGGGAGGCCGGGGAACCGGGAGAGACGGGAAGCGGGCTGAGGGCTGCCTGCCCGGGTGGACGGCCGCACAGCTGCATCGCGGGCCGAGGCCTCCACAGCCAGGCATGTCCCGAGCGCGGGGGTGGCGGGCGGGCGGCGGGCAAGTGGCCGGTGACACGCGGACAGGGCGCGGGCGCGGGGGCGGCGAGGGGGCGGCGCTCACGGGCTCGGCGCTCGTTCCGCCGCATTAGGCTCAGGGAGGCGCCGGCCTGGCTGGCCGCTTCGTGCAGCTGTCCTCCCGGCCAGGCTGGGCGCGCACCCCATCCTGACTGCTGTCCCCAGGCGCCCCGTCTCCCTCCGGGCACCGTGCCCCCCGTGGGGACGCCGGTCTGGGCACTGCCGGGGCCACGCAGCCGAAGGGACAGCGCTCAGTCTGAGGTCCGAGCTGTGGCTGCTGCAGGCAGGTCAGACCCCGCGTCAGCTCCGAGGGATGCCCCGGGGAGCCTAGCGCTGTGGGTGAGCTTCTGCACCCCAAGTCCCCAGGGCAGGGGGTGGGCTTGAACGGCCCCCCAGTGGAGGGGTTTGACCCACAGTGTCCGCCCCGTGGACAGACCCCAGGCTCAGCCGTCAGACGGTGGGGTCAGCCCAAGGCTGCCCTCACCAGCAGGCGCTGTGCTCGGCCAGGGCTCCGGGCAGAGCAGCCCCCTCGGGGAGAGTGAAGGTGGTGGCCTGAGCCAGGCGGCGTGAGGGTGCGCTCGGGGCTGCCAGCTGCTGCTGTCGGGATTATGCCGTGGCCGTGGCTGTGGCCTGCGTGGCTGGGAGCCCACAGAACTCGCCGGGGAGGTGGGGGGAGCCGCCTGGCGGGGCGGGAGCGGACCTGACCTTCTGGAAGTGAGGCATGTGCCAGAGGGCGTCCAGCTTCACGGGCGGCTTGTACTTCCTCAGCTGGCTGCTCCGCGTCTCGTACAGCTCCCCCAGGCTCACCTGCCCCGGGACACGGGAGGTGCTCACCTGGGGCTCCCCTGGCCGCTCCCCTGGCGCTCAGAGAACCGAGCTGCCAGGAGGGGGCGCAGGACAGGGGTGTCACAGCCTGAGGGTGCCCTTCCCCCCGTGGCTCAGTGCCGCCGTGGTCAGTGTGGAGGGCCGTGGATGCCGCCCGCATGCCGCTCTGGGGCCCGGCGTGCAGCCGCCTGGAGGGCAGGGCCCGGCCCAGCGCTCCTGTCCTGTGCCCGCGGCTCACACAGGGAGAGGGACCCCGCAGTGTCTGCGGGGAGGAGGCTGGATCGGAGGGAGGGCTGGCATCTCTGGAGCAGGTCCAGCCCAGGGCGCCCTCGGAGGAGAAAGGAGCACTCTGGGGTTGGCTCCAGCCTGTTTTCTGAGGGTGAGCTGGGTTCTGTCCGGCACACAGGCCATGCCCGGCCCCCCAGAACCTTGGTCTTGGGGCTTAGGTAGGGCTTCAGTCTGATCGTCACCAAGACCCCCTCACCTCTAACTTCCCACAATGCCCCAGGCCACAAGCAGCGAGGTTCGCAGGCCCCCCACCCCCGGACTCAGTGCACGGGCTCAGTCTCGAGCTGAGCTTTGCAGGGCCAGCCCTTCCCGCCTCTGCGCCCTGACGTGGCCGGGGGGCCGGCCTTCACCTTCTGCTTCTTCTCCAGTTTGATGGCCTTCTGGGCGGCCTTCTGCTCCTGCACCCACAGCTGCTGGTAGCGGTGCCGCAGCAGGTCGAACAGGGGCGTGGAGGGCCTGCGGGCGAGGCGGGTGTGAGGGCCTCCCCGGCCGCCCGCCCGCCCTCCGGGGCCACCCCCCCTCACTGGGCTCCGGGGCAAACCCTCTCCCCAGGAGCGGCGCCCCGCGGGTCACCACAGACACTGACGGCAGCTGAGGTGAGGTGATGGGGACCCAGGAGCAGTCACCACAGACACTGACGGCAGCTGAGGTGAGGTGATGGGGACCCAGGAGCAGTCACCACAGACACTGACGGCAGCTGAGGTGAAATGAGGTGATGGGGACCCAGGAGCGTGGTGCCCTATTGGCTCTACTGTCGTGCATATATGAAATTTTTCATAAAAAGAGAAAAAGAAAAAAACCAGCTGAAGCCGGTTTGGCTCAGTGGATAGAGCGTTGGCCTGCGGACTGAAAGGTCCCGGGTTCGATTCCGGTCGGGGGCATGTACATTGGTTGCAGGCACATCCCCGGTAGGGGTGGTGCAGGAGGCAGCTGGTCGGTGTTTCTCTCTCATCGACGTTTCTAGCTCTCTATCTCTCTCTCCCTTCCTCTTCTCTGTGAAATATCAATAAAATATTTTTTAAAAAGAAAAGAAAAAAAAAGAGAAAAAAACAAAAACAAAACAGTGGGGAAAGCTCGTTGTCCTGCCCATCACTCCTTCCCCACCTGCCCTTGGACCCCGACAGCTTAGCCACAGACTCAGGCCAGGGTTCTGATCGGGGCGGAGGGGCGAATGGTGCCTCCCCTCCCCCCTTCCACAGGACATGTCCGCCCCAACCCTCGGAATTTGGGGGGTGGCAAGGACTGTCTGGGGAAAGGGCTGTTGAGAGGGGGGCAAGTTAGCGATTGCAAGGTGGCGAAGCATCGTGTGCGTGCCCCTCAGGGTGGGCCGGGACCCGGACGGTGTCCTGGTGAGACCCAGGGAAGCAGCGCAGAGGCGGGGGTGCTGTGAGGAGGAGGCAGAGGGGCCCTGCAGGAGCCCAGGCCCCAGGAGCCTGGGTTTTGGAGTTTTGGGCTTGAACCCCAGTGTGGGGCGTGCAGGGGGCAGCCGATCAATGATTCTCTCTTATCATCAATGTTTCTATCTCTCTCTCTCCCTCTCCCTTCCTCTCTGAAAGCAACAAAAATATGTTTTTAAAACAAAACAAGTTGGGGAGAAAGAGCCAAGCATGTGCAGGTGCGTCCACACAGGTGTGAGCTCCTGGAAAAAAGACTGGAAGGAAGCCGGCCAGTGATGACGGGGTCGGGGGGGGGGGGCGGCTTCCCCTTCCGGTCCACTCACTGGTTTTATGTGACTTTTTCAAAAGAAAGAGAGAGACGGAGAGAGGGAGAGAGGGAGAGAGGGAGAGAGAGAGAGAGAGAGAGAGAGAGAGAGAGAGAGGGAGAGGGAGAGGGAGAGGGAGAGGGAGAGGAGGTGGAGGGGAGAGAGGGAAAAAGGAAGAAATAAATCAAGCCTGAAGTCGTTGATCTGGCTGGGGCCAGGGAGCCAGGGACAGGCGATGGTGTTTGCCCCGGGCCGAAGCCCCGTGGACTCGGAGGCAGCAGGGCCTGCAGCTGTGTTGGGAGGAGCGGGAGGGGTTCACACAGATCTGAATTATTTATCCTCATTAAAGAGGTGTGGGTGGGGTGGGGGACGCCGGAGCCCACAGAGGCCAAATGGCCGGCCCAGGTCACACGGCACACTCCCCCCCCCCCCCCAGGCCGGTGTCTGTGGCCAGGAGAACGCGCAACTGAGCTCTGCAAAGACCGAAGGGGACAGGCCAGCAGGCGGCTGCAGCTGGAGGCCAAACCCGGGGGCCTGGCCGTGGCCAGGTGGGACCCCAGACCTTCCCCATGCTTGCTCCAGGCTCCCTGAGCTCACAGGGCCTGCAGCAGCCACAGCACTAATCCTCATAGCTCAGGCTTCCTGCTGCTTCCTCTGTCCTCAGGACAACACCTCAGAGACAGGTGTTGATATACCCATTTCACAGGCGAGAAGTCAGAAGCCCAGAGTTCGGTGTCTTGCACAGCCAGTGAGTGACGTGCTGTGTTCTCCCTGGAAGCCTGAGGGCTTGTTGCCCAGCAGCCCCGCCCCGCTCAGCCCCCAAAGCCGAGCGCCGCTCAGAGAGGATGGCTCGGTGAGCAGCAGCGGGGGACGAGGAAGCCCCTCCACCTTTTGCTGGGCCTTCGGGTTTGGGCAGAAGATGGCCGAGAGGGGTCCCTGGACAGAGGGGTCAGCAGGCGCAGAGCCAGGGAGCCCGGCCGGGCTGGCACCACGCCTCTGACCGGCCTGATGGGCGTGGGCAAACAGCTGAGATTCGCACATGTGCCGCCAGCTACAGACTCAGCAGCTCCTCATGACTCTGTAGTGCGGACGAGAGTTCCTGCTTTCTGGTGGGGAAACTGAGGCTCAGAGAGGTTCAGCAACCTGCCTTAGGTTTGCTCCTGGACTGAGAGCAGCCAAGGAGTCGGATTCAGGCTCCAAATTGGGTTTCCCTGGGGGCCAGGACCCCAGAGCGGGTCTGAGTGTCCCGGTGGCTTGTCCCGGTGGCCGGGCTGCTGGCCCTGCTCCGGGCCCGGCTGGCCGGTGGAGTCAGGTTGTAATCTTCTACATGTGACTTCCCCGAGGTGTGTCCGCTACCCAGAGCCTCCGGTCCCCTACCTGGGGGTGCTAGGCTCTCAGCTCAGGGCTTCCTCTGTTTCTGGGCAGCCCGCCCGGGGCACGGCGAGGCTGGCGCCCAGGGCCTGGACAAATTGCTTGCTGATAAGCTGGCAGGACCAGCTCGGCACATTCCTGCAGCCTGACATCCCCACTAACCGCAAAACGGTGTCAGAGCCGGGCTCACGGAGCGGGAGGCGGGAGGATGCCGGGTGAGGTCTGCCGGCGCAGGGTGGGCCTGCAGGAAACCTCAAATTAGTTCCATCCAGTCCGTCTCCGGCCTGGCGATGGATGCCCGGACCAGGGCCGATCTGCGATGAGGGCCGGGGAGGATCATTTGCAAACATTAGGCTGACACCGGTGAGAGCGGGCTGAGGGCTGACAGCTCTGATTTGCCGGCGCGGCTCCGGAGTGGGGAGGCTCTGCGGATCAGAGGGGCCCTTTCATGGCAGCCCGTCTCCGGCCGGCCGGCGGCTCATTAAAACTCGGCGGGGCTGGCGGGGCCGGCGGAGCGGGGGCGCCGCGGAGCCTTCTGAGGGGCCCGGGTACACATCTGTTGAAAGGTGCCGGGAAGGCAGCCCTGGGTCTGACAAACCGGATTTCAGTGCGGCTCCCCGCTCACAGCGGGCTGAAATAATTGGTCATCAGTGACTACTAATTCGGTTTAGTAGCCAGAGGCGATTTTTTTCTTCCCGGAAAATCAATGACAGCGCGGAGGCCTGTTCAACGCGACTCTGCTCCAGACGGGCCCGTCTTTGACGCGTGATGCTTCTTCCAGCGGAGACAGCTATTTTGTTAAAATGAAATTAAAATCCACCTCTAATATGCTGGCGGGCGCCCACATGGCCTCCGGGCTGACGGAGTGGACAGCGGCCACCAGGACGGGCCGTGTCTCCTCGGCCGGTGTGACTTTCTCAGCACGCCGTGGGCCGTGGAGGGTCTGGTTTGGGAGGAGGCTGGGGGCTGGGCTTCCCCCTGGGGTTCTAAGTCACAGCTGAGCCCACGACGGACACCCAGCAGGGTCCCTTCTAAGACCCTGCCCCTCTGGAGGGGTTCCTTCACCGAGTGGGACCTGGGGAGGGTGCCCTCGTGTGCTCGGACAGCACCCAGAGGTGCCCCTCAGGCTGGGGTTGCGGCTCGCCCGTTGGCGTGCCAGGTGACCCCAGTGACCGTGCTGAGCCCTTCGCTTGTGTCCTACGTGACCCAGCGGTTTTTTCTTCCGAGCAAGTCTGACCATTGTCACCCACACGTACCGAAACCACTGTTAAATCATTGTTTTGCTTTCTTTACATTGAAATGTAATTGAGATCATTGCAGATTTCACATCCTATATAATAAAAGGCCAATATGCAAATCAACCAAACAGCAGACTGACCAGTCGCTATGACGTGCACTGACCACCAGGGCACAGGTGCTCAAAGCAGGAGCTGCCCCCTGGTGGTCAGTGTGCTCCCACAGGGCTGGCGAGTGCAGTGGTGGTGGTGGGGGCCTCTCCCACCTCCGTGGCAGCACGAAGGGTGTCCCACTGATGGCTCAGGGGTGGGCCTAAGCTGCCAGTTGGACATCCCCCGAGGGCTCCTGGACTGCAAGAGCCCACAGGCCAGATGAGGGACACACACCCTGCCCCGCCCCACCGAGGGCACGAATTTCATGCCCCTAGTGCCGTTATAAGAAAGAAAACGGAGGTCCCAGGAACGCTTCCCGTGGTGACATCTGTTCCCCCTCGGTAGCATCTTGTGAAACTCGAGGGTAAAATCACATCCAGGACAGTGACACTGAGACAGTCTCCCCAAGGACTTGTAAGTGTGTGTGTGTGTGTGTGTATTTCTTTTTAAAATATATTTTTATTGATTTCAGAGAGGAAGGGAGAGGATGAAACATCAAGGATGAGAATCACTGATCAGCTGCCTCCTGCACGCCCCCTATGGAGACCAAGCCGGCAACCCGGGCCTGTGTCCTGGTTGGGAATCAAACCGTGACCTCCTGGTTCATAGGTTGATGCTCAACCGCTGAGCCACGCTGGCTGAGCTAATTTTTTTTTTTCAGTGGAGGAAGGGACTCACGGAAACCAGAGTGCCTGGGCTGGGGAAGTGCCCGGGAGCCGGGAGACCAGGCCGGCCTGGGTCAGAAATTGCATTTTGATGCCCCCCCCTCCCCCAGCGTGCTGAGGCCAGAGACACAGTCCTGAGGGTGAATGGGAATCACCCAGAGAGCTCATGAGCCAGAGAGGTGCCGGGCGTCACCCGCGGACATTCTGACTCACGGGGCCCAGGGGCCGGCCTCTGCATTTACCGGGACGCCCCCTCCCAAGGGGTCACCCCTGTGGACCTGGGCCCTGGAGGGCTCCAGCCCCAGCCTCTCCTGGGGAGGCCCCTCTGCC